CAGCCCCAACAAGCCCATCGGCTGCTTGCCCAGCACGAGGCACAAATCTCAGAGAGCCCCTTCTCCCTGACTGCAGGAACAAGAGAGAAAGAGAGGGGCCGGTCCTGCTGCCAGAGTCAGGGACAGATCTCAAACAGCCGGCCTCAGGCTACCAAACCAACAGCCTTTCCTGTCCTAGGGAGGACAAGGCACACTTTGCATCTCTCCCCACCTCCACGTTCCACCATCCACACCCCCCTCGGCCAGCAGCAGCACGCCTCACCCCTGGAAGTTGCCAGGCACGGTGATCTTGCGATTCACCAGCGCCTTCATGACCCGGCTGACCATCTCGTAGAGGGAGCCCGACATGTTCTTGGTGAGCCGTCCCTCGAAGCGTTTCTCCACCTCCTCCCTGCATGGCCGAAAGAGAAGGCAACGGTGAGAACGGGAACACAGGAGGTTTGTTACCTCCCTCCCAGCTCCCCGCAGCCCCCAGATCCAGGGAGGAGGTCAAGGAAGCGGCCTGGCAGGAGCAGAACTCACTCGTTCATGTTGAGGGTCAGCGAGATGTCCTCATCCTTGGAGAAGAGCAGGATAAGGAAGTGGTAGCGGGTCTGGCCCTGCTTTATCGGGGGGTCCAGGCTGATCTGAAAAGAGAAGAGGAGGCGAGGACCTGAAATCCCCCGAACCCATCGCTCGTCACCCTTCCCTGGGGGAGGGAAGACCCCTCATCCCTTCCTCACCACAAAGAACATCTGCCGCTGGTCATTGTGCGGGAGCAGGAAGAGACGCTAGGGGATCTTGTAGTCAAAGGTCTTGCCGTGGAGGTGCAGGAAGGTGGGGTAGATACGGATGTCGTATCGCCCGCGAGGCGTCAGACACTGCAGTTCCCGGAAGATGCAGATGGCATCTCCAGTGGCCTGGATCACATCTGCCTTGGAGAGGACGTTCTGAGCAAAGGCCTGCAAGGGAAGAGAGTTACGGCTGGGGGAGGGGAACCGTTTTGCCTGGCCCGCTGTCCCCGCAGCCCCCTGCTAACCTCCACGGGGTCCACACCGTCCTCCTGGGTTGGTGGCACGTAGAAGCGAACCTCCATGAGCGAGACCTCGGCATCGTCATTCTGGTGGAACTCCAGCGTCACCTCATTCTTGCCCGTCGTGCACTGGGAGACGTTGCTGAGGGGGATCTCGAACACTGGCTGCTCCCCGATGTCAAAGGAGAGCAGCTGCCCTACGGGGGCGGGATGGGAGACGCAGCTCGTCAGCTGGATCAGAACTACCACGCTACGAGGAGGGGATAAGGTCCACCCTGTGGGGTAAACCCATGGTGTCCTCTGATACCCCATCTCCAGCAGCAGCCTTGTTCTTCTCCCAAAGTACAGCAATGCCTCTCCTCTCCCCCTCTGCATTCCCATGCTCCCTCCCAAATCTCCAGGCTTTCTCCTTCAGGCTACGGCCCCAGCGATCAACATCGATCAGAAATGACCAGGAGGGAACCATCCGTTCCCACATTCCCCTGGGCTCAGAGCAGGGAGGAGCATCAACCAGCCCCCCTGGCTCCTTCAGGAGCTGGCAGGCTCTGCCAGATGCTCACAGCTCCCACACCGACCTTTCTTTTGCGCTGAGCATTCCCTGCCTGCAAAACCTTCTCCCTGGATTTGGGGCCCACAGGTATCTCCTGCTTTCCTGGGATGGCTAACATCCTCACCGTCCCCGAGGACACCACTAGAAAGTGGGCCACTGCCCAGGGGACCAGCTGGGTGCTGCAGGAACAGCCATGCTGGTGCAAAACTGTCCCAGCTACCAGACCAGCCCCACCGCCTCGGGTTGCACCCAGCACAGAGGTTCCCCTCCGCCAGTAATGGCGTCACCACAACTCACCTCCAAACCTCACTGTCCCCCAGTTCCAACCCTTCACGCATAGATCCTTCTCTGCCAGCTCCAGGCGATAGTGGGCCTTGAAGAAATCTGAGAGCTTATCAAACTCCTGGGCCAGGGAGAGAAGGAGGGAATGTCCGTTAGAAACCACCTTGTACAGGCGGGCACTGCCCAGAGCCCGTAACTGGGACACGGCTCCCCCAGCACAAGGGAAGCAGCAAGAAAAACAGGGGTCAGCGCTGTGAGACTTGCAGGGAGCGCAGCTCAATACAGGGCAAGCACAAGCCAGCAAGAGAAGAGAGGCCAGCCAGGGACAAGGATAGGCCAGGCACGCAGGGGCCAGGGGACTCACCGATTCCCGGAAACCATCGTATTTGTAGACGTGGCCGTTCTTGGTGAGCAGCTTGAGGCCATGACCGAGTGCCACACGCCGCCACACACCCTCAGCCAGCTCCGAGGCCTGGATGTTGTCCACCTTCCCCGTCTTGCTGTTCTTGAAGATCACGCCTTGGCGGCTGAGCCGCAGCCGCCCGTCATTCTGGTGGGAGAGGTAGGTGTGAGGCGAAGGCGGCTCGCCTCACACACGGGGGAACAGCCCAACGACACTGAAAGGCTCCAGAGCAGGCAACCGCCGCCCTTTGGGTGCAACAGGCGGCTGCACAACCTCTTCAGGCGAAACAAGGCGACTCCCCAACTGCTCACCAGCTTTAGTCCGCACACGCTCCTCACCACCCAAATTGGGGATTCAGACGGCCAGAAGACAGTCGCCAGCACCCTCAGTGCTGCTACAGTGCTGTAGCTCTATTGGGCTTTTGGGGACAACATCCCAGAAGCCAGAGGATTAAGGGAGACCCAGAAACACTCAACACCTCCGCAAGACACCTCCTGCCCACTCCCCCATGCTGGAACAGGCTGACGGCCGACACACAACCCTCTCGCAGCAGCTGCAGTGGACGCACAGAGCTGGCATCCCTTCTCCCTCCTCCTGGAAGTGTTCCCAACCACAACCTCGCTCGCTCCGCAACGGGCTGGCACTAAAAGCCCCCGTCAATGCTCCAAAATGCTTCAGCCCCGGAAACGAGGCGCCTCCACTCCCCGCTTCCATGCGAGAGCAGCAAAACACCCTCTGCCAGGATGAGGCGGCGGAAGAGACGCCGGGGTGGGGGAAGAGCCCT